TCACTGCCCCTCACTGCCCCTCACTGCCCCCTCACTGCCCCTCACTGTCCCCTCACTGCCCCTCACTGTCCCCTCACTGTCCCCTCACTGCCCCTCACTTCACGCCTGCCAAGAGCCCCCTGTGATGCCCGCCTGCCCGGGGCCACAGGCACGGCCCTGTCCCAGCCCTGTCCCAGTTCTACCCCAGCCCTGTCCCAGCCCTGTCCCAGCCCTGTCCCAGCCCTGTCTCAGCACCCCCTCCATAGCCGGCCCCTGAAGCCGCAGCCCGGCCAGCACCATGTGGGGATGGCAGTGCCGTGGGACCCTGTCTGCTCCCATACACAGCAGGAACAGTACCAGAGTAGGCTGTGCCAGATGTGCCAGCAACACACAGCTGCCAGGCATGGACAGGCACCAGCCATGTGCTCCATGCACTCTGGGGGCAGCACAGGATCCCACACTGATTGTCCCAAGGAAGACATGCAGTGGGAGATGACCCACCACTGGCCAACCTTCCAACTCAAGAAAGCACGAGGCCTTAATTTTGCTCCAAAATGCACATTTAAATCTGTCACCTTCATTTAAAACTATAATTCCATATAATTTCATGGGAATAATAAAAATGTCTCATCATCTCTTTAAATTATTTCTGTTGCCTGTTCAGAGGTCCACAGGCACAAGCTGATGATGCCAGACATTGTCCCCGTGTGTCCCTGAGCTGGCACATGCGTGTTGGGGACAGCCCTGGCACGGCTCAGGCCACCCATGCTGTAGCCAGGGAAGGTGATGCCGCACCTGGCAGTCCCTGCATCAGCAGGGGTGGTGGTGCCTGGCCAAGGGAGGGTTGCACCCATCCCTCATTCCCTTGTCTTCCAGGCCCTGCTGCCTTGGCACAGCTCCTGGTCCGCAGTGCCATAACACAGGGGTGATTTCCTTGGTGAGCTGTTCCCCTGTTTGTCACACTCCTCCTCTGCTCTGCTGTCAGCATGATCAATAACAACCTGGTTTTAATCCACTCAAGCTCTCCTTCCCTTCTCATCAATGATTTCTACTGTTGTTTTTCCTTTTAGCTTCTGGACTCTTTCTCAGTCCATGTTTACTATGCTCTATTCCTGCTGTTTTTCCTCAGCTGCATTTCTGCTTTCACTATGAAACTCATCTCCCTCCCACTATCCCATCACAGTCCCACTCTGCTCCCAAATGCAGATGCCTAGCCAAAACCTGCAAAAAAGAATTTGGTACAGTTGTAGTGATTTCTGCATCACATACTTCCATCAGCAGGCCAAAGTGAGAGGGCTTCGTCCAAAGTGACATGATCCACCTAGACTCAGATGGATATTCCACATGTCCAGCCCTTCTCTATAAACCTGACACAGCAAGTGAGCAGCCCCCAAGGTTGCAGAGTAGGAGCTGGCGCTGCACTGAGATTGCAGGAGCCGGTGAGGGGCATGAAGCACAACAGGAAGGAGCTCAGCCCATGAGGACAATGACAAAGCCACTTGGGTGCTTCGCATGCAACCCAGCGTGTCTCAGAGGCTGGTGGCACAGGGGTGGCACATTGTGTTCATCTTCATCCTACACAATGCTCCCATGTCCAGAGCACCCCATCCAGAGCACAGGAGCCTGTGGACACCCACAGGCAAAGGGATGACAGAGTGTGTGGGGACACAACATTTATCCTGCCCCTGAGTGAGATGCATCATTCATTTGAATGGCAAAGCCACAAGTTGATTAACTAATTCTAACAAGAATTAAGCTGTGTGTTAATTCAGAGCTTTCCTTATGAACTATACGAAGCAGATCAGCACAACTAATAGTGTCTGGTGTCCCTGGGGGCAGGGGCCTGCAAAACTGATGAACTCCATCACCAGTGAGACACACGGCTCGTCAGCAGCAGCCCCTCGGCTGCAGGTCGAACACTCCCAGCGTCTGGGAAGGAGCCAGAGCATCTCACAGGCCCCTCAGCACAGAGGAGCATTCTGCTATAGGCCGGCAATAAAGCTGCTTCTACCAGCACCTGCCTTTATAAATTACTCTTGATTTGAATACAGTGGTAATGTATGTATTTTTTGACATATAAGCTCACACTCGGTGGCCATTGTTTCCCTCTTTTATCCCTCACTCTATCACCCTGTGAGTTTATTACTGTTTAGCTCACTGACCTTTCAATGCATCGAGGAATTAAGGTGCAGCACGGACGGGAAAGAACACAACAATACATCACTCCCAGCAGAGCCACCGGCGCCAGCAGCGCTGCCAGGGAGAGGCCACGCAGCCGTGCCCGGCCCACGGCCGTGGCCACCACCAGCGGGGCCCCACGCAGGACCCGTGAGGGGCCGGGGCTGCCGCTCCCACCCCGGCCACCAGCACTGCCCGGTGGGCACGGGGGCTGCACAGGACTCCAGCCCGGGGACACCAGCGCCTCGGGGGTTAACAAAATGCAAGTGTGCTACTGC